AACAGGAACATAATAGGGTGCGGGGGTGGGGTGGGGTGATGGGTGAGGAAAGAAACAGGATCTACTAGTGGCGCCCTCCAACCACACACGAACTCTATGACACAGGTGGGAAAAAAAAAAACACAAGAGAAAAAGCCCCCCCCCAAAAAAAACCTTAACAAAAACTATGAGACCATATAGGCCTACTATTACTTGACCAGCGTATACACTTTGCCCCTGCTCACAGAACATATGGGTTCGATTCCAGAGTGGGGAGAAATATTTTAATTTGAGAATCTTTGTCATTCTGCTCGGACATTGTATTTGTTGTAATCCTCTCTGTCTGTGTTGGCCCTGACAGTCGGGCAGGGTGGGAGCAGCCGGCTTCCTAAAGGATCTGAATTGTGTCGAGTGAGGGGCGAAACAGCAAAAATTTACTACATCACATTGCGGTAAATAGATCTCCGGGACCACCTTGAATGGAGTCATGTCGATAAAAGGGCAAAACAACAAAAAGTACATCACATTGGAGTAAAAAATTAGATATTCGGGACCACTTCACTAATTAATTTTAATATTTAGGCCCTATTCTATGTGACCTTGGTTAGCATATGCATATAAAAAAACAACTTTCCGGCTCATAAATGACTTTATGCAGTTGCGAGCGCCGTAAAACTGTTGCTAAAACTAAAAATAAAAACCTTTTGTTTTTTTGTTCGCATGTCCTGATTTGGGGCTGGGTAATAATTGTAATTTACAAACAGAACATCTGGTTAGCATTGTCAACCAATTCAACTAATTAAGTATTGTTTATATATCACTCACTGCAGCAATTACAGCAATTTTTCGTCTATATTTGTATACTTCACATGCTTATAACATTTTCTGAGGCCCATTGAGCCAGTTTTCTAGAAGTGGTGTAGACTGCCCTGAACTGACAAAAAATGCTTTTTTTTATTCACAACAGTTTCGAGAAGAAGATTTTTTTGTCTGCATAACCACTGAAAAATAGAGTGGTTCCAAAATTTAAATTCTAATTTTTTCAAAAACTAGTCGCAGTTTCACTTTGATTTTTTTTCACACAAACAGGGTAACTGATCATGCTTTCAGTTTTATAGCAAATAGAAAATTTGGGCGCAAAAATGAAAAAAAAAGAGTTTTGTCAGCTTATGGCAGTAAAGATATCACAATGACCTGTCTCCTGTTCAAGAAAAAAACTTGTGGAAGAGACATTCTGATTGTCAATGATGAGCTTAAAATAGGCTCCTTTCAGTACAGAAATGGCCATTCCACTCCAGGGAAGGAAAAAAACAATTAATTGTGAAGCATGCTGAAAAAAATGAAGAATGAGTTACTTCTTGGATTCAAACCTTATGGAAATAGGCACATGACAATTATAGGTGAAGTTTTAACAATTTATAAGTATGAAAAAAAGAAAAGGAATTTTATACTTAAAGAATACGGCATCAATAGAAAATCTACAAATGTGACCCTAGTGTCGATTTTTGGCCAATATCTCCATTTGTGGATTGCGAGAAGTAACTCATTTTGTCAACACCCCTCACAATTATAGAAGAAGAAAGATAATTTTTTAAAAATTGTTCGAAACATTTTATTGTAGTCAGCAATCACATTATAATTATAGTAGAGAGTTGGTCCTACAAATATCCGCCTTCAAATATCTTTATTTCCGTAATTAATTTACAGTGAGTACGTTCACGAATATAAAGACATTTGAGGGCAGAATTTTGATTTACTCTGTCTGGGGAAAGATGCGAAGGTTGGTAGTTCCAAGACAAAAAAAAAAAGAAAAAGAAAACCAATCGGGTAATTTATACCAATTGAGTCCAGGGTTCCTAGACAAAATAAAAAAAAAAAAGTAATAGTCATGTAAATATTGTAAAACTCACCATCTTTAACACAAGTCTGTAAAAGTCTGCACTAAAGTCCGTTCCAGGTTGACAAGTACAACAAGCTCACACACACACACTCACACACACACACACACAAAATACACATTTATGTACATACAGCATTTACTTGTTTTTTCAGACTGGAAGAGAAAATGTAAAAAAAAAAGGCTGGAATGCAGTAAGTAGTTCAGCAAAAGTGGACGGATAATTTCTGAGATTTAAGTCACAAAATAATAAATATTACAAATAGATGTAAGAGTTGTTCTGTAACAAATGATGATATTCAATTTAAAAAAAAAAAAAAAAAAAAAAAAAAAATTCGAACAGTTCCATGGATGTTTTGCAGGCACAACAACTGAGTAAACCAATAGGTCGCTTTTAAGCACAAGGGGGCTATCCCGAAAAATGCTGTTTTGAGAAAATCGAAGGTAACGTTTAAAGTTTTGGCCCCTTGTTCAGTTTCAGTAAAAGACAAGGAGAATTTTCTCTGTAACCAAATAAATATACACACCAATGAAACCAAACTTCTCCTATAGGTAGGGCAAAGCCCACTTTTGATGTAGTCAAGATTTCTGGAGACCCCCGAAATCTGGGTTAGCCCGCTTGTCCTTAAAAGCGACCAATTAAATCAACCCGAGACATCACATCGGGACAACAACAATGTACATTTCAACTTTATAAATGACAACAGTACAATCCTATGTAGGCCTATATATCATCGGATATAACACTTCCATTCCTTTCTTCACTTTCATCCACCTTCCCCACCACCACCACCACCGCTACAAAAACCCTGACCCAAGATACAATACAAAACAGTACATATATATGTAAAAAAAATTCATCATCATGTTGAAAAAAATCACGTCTATTTGTGAGGCGCGCTAACAAAATTAGTTACTTTTCGTAATGAAAGAATGCAGATATCGGCAAAAAATTGACCGTAGTTTCTAAACCAATGCTATTCTCTTCAAGTTTTACATGTCATGTCCTTTGTAATTTCATATCAATGAATTGGAAAAAAAATCAACCTATAAATTAGACGCATCTATTTCCATCGGGCTAAAATCCGAGAAGTAGAATCGTTCTCATTTTGTCAGAACGCCTCACATTTATCACAAAGAGAGCAGAAACAGCAATCACTGCTTTGGCCTCAGGAAATGAAACCACCAAAGAGTGTGTGAGAAGAGATTGATAAGGCATGAACGGCAAAGACCCAGAATCTTCCAGAAAAGCCGGGTAGTGGCTACCAGCTTTGACGTCTCATCACCTCTGATGGAAAACTACCAACACCCACATCTAATTCATAAAAGATTAAAGATCATCATTAATTTTCATGAAAGTGTTCATTGGGGCTTCAAGTAGTGTATCATCATCATCATCATCATCATCCAGTGCCAGATCTGCGCCAGACATCGGTGATCATGGTTCTCCATTCATTCCTTTGCTCGGATGCTCTCAAATATTATAATATATTAAAACCAAAATAACACCCCCCCCCACCCCAGGAATTAAAAAGTTAAATATAGTTTCACTTACCTAGCTCTGCAACTTTCTCATTCCGTTTATTTCTATCTCAACGCTCAATGACTCAAACCTTTCCTGGGTATGCATTATAAACCTAATAAAGACATTCTGGGAAAAAAACAACTTAATAAGAACACTTGTCAATTTCTGTTAAATGAATAAAGCTACCAAAAATACATTTTTTAAACACATGATCAGTGGTAACCTGGAGCTCAAGACTAGATCTCTTCCTTCTTACTTCCATACCACACTGAAAGAAATTTCTGTTGTTTATCGAAGTGTGACTTTTACCTAGATTCACAGACTCACTGAATGTGCCATGGCAATTCCCTCTTCATTTTGAGAGGTTTAGAAGAAGCCTTTTCCAGAGCCAGCACACTCCTATACTGACACACCGACACTTATACGATATATCCAACACACATCTACACACATCCAACACACATGTACCCTGATATACCAACACTCATCCATCACACACTAACACACATCCAAACATCCATCACACACTTACACTGACTCACCAAAACACCTCCATCATTAATTCCAAAACACACAAATGCCTTGCCTATCACAGTCACTGTTTAAGTACTCAAAACACTGTACAATTTCTTGGCCTTCCTTGAAAAAAAACCCCCAAAACCCATTAATACCCGACTTTTTACCATCAAACAATGGTTACAATTTTATCTTTAAAAATCCTAAATTGTTATTTTACGAGAGAAACTCCTGTTTATAAAACTGATGTGAAATACTTTATTAACAACTCTCTTAGCAAAAAAAAAGGCAACACCTTCCCTTCCCATCACCCCACCACCACCCCTCCCTCGTACCCACAAAACAAACAACCCCCCACCCCCACAACACCCCAACCCCCAAATCCCTAACCCCACCCTCATCTTCTCTTTCATTCTTCCTCCACAAGCCACTGCCTCCTCCACCCTAAAAAAACAACAAAAACTAAATTAAAAAGTATTGAAAACTCTTGAAATTGTTTCTATTCCCTCAAATTTGACCCAGCCTTCTACATAATGCATGACGATGTTACTGATAACCGTAAGGGTTAAACGAATGTGCAATGACGCTCTGAAATCAGGTGCTTGTTAATTGGGGCATGTGGAGATACTGGTATCACCTTCTAAACTTGTTCATTTGTGAGGCAGCGTGGTGAAATCAGTCGCTCGTCAAAATACAGAAATCGAAGAAACAGGCATTTTTTCTGAAAGTTTGGAAATTTTTATTGAACTTTAATTTTTGGAGATCAACCTCTTTTATATCCATATAAAAACACATTTCCACGTGAATTTTACGGAAAAACATTGATTAAAGGCACAAAATATGTCACTTTTCTGTTTTCAAGGACTCTTTCGCTGTTGGATTTACCAAACTTTGGCATCCATTTTCTCGCCATTTTCACCACTGAAACCAGGCAACCTCACTTCCTTTAGTCGCAAATATCTTGGGTTCTATTCAAGACAGATGGATATTTATTTCATTGGAGGCAAGGCAAAATAAATCAGCTTTCAGATGATACCAATAACTCCACAAGCCCCAAAATTGACAAGCGCCTGATTCCAGAGCGTCATGACACATTTGTCTTGCTTTCGATTAACCAAATGCAGACTCCACTGTAAAGTTAGTTCGCCCTAGGGAATGAGAACTCTTGAGGGAAATCAAAGCGCTACTGGGGCAGTGCGGGTTGATAAACAATTCGTAGCGACTGGGGGCTATGCGGGCTAATAAACGATTGGACGAAGGGGCTGTGCGGGTCACTAAACGATCAGACGATGGTGTGGCAGAGGGGACAGGTTTTCCTGTGGGTGATCTCCCCCTGCAGGGCGCGGTGCTTGCAGCGGCTACACATCCAGAACTGGTACTCCAGGATGGGCCGGCCCGTCACGATGCAGCTCGGGTACTTGGTGTCACACGACGGGCACACCGTCGCCCTGTGGGGTAGTGGTGG